GAATGTTGGCCGATCTGCAGTTTCTTTATGATGTCCGTTTTAAGTGTCGTGTTCTCGCATGCATAGGTCATGACTAGTTTTCTTCTTTAGATAGAGTTGCATTCTAAATTTGAATATGATTGAGTTTCTATGAGAAGTACTCCATGTTAATTTCTTCTATTCTTCTATTGATTTCTGCTAGTAGAGATCCCGAACTGTGTTGGTTAGTATTAGTTGGTTAGTATTAGTTGTCCCAAATAAATATATTTCACTATTTGCAGTGTTGTGTTGTATATTAGGATGTCTTTTCTTTCCACTAGTTCGTTGTATATTACTTTAGTTTTTACTAAATTCATTTTGAGACCCACTTTATTGCTGTGTGTATTAAGTTCATTAATTTATGCTTGTAATTCTTCAGGACTATTGACAATTAAGACTATGTCATCAGCAAATCTTAGATTGTTAAGACGTTCTCCATCTATTTTTAATCCTTTGTTGGTCCAGTCCAGTTGACGGAAGATTTCTTCTAATGTTGCTGTAAACAGCTTTGGGGATATCGCGTTCCCCTGTCGTACTCCTTTGCCAGTTGTGACACCCTGTATATTGTCATTTAATCATGAGACCGCATAAATTAAAAAAATATAACTTAATCCAAGTAGCATCTATCTGACTTCGAACTAAATCTGACCTGAAGCGACGTTAGACTTTGTGCAAATTTAGGTCGGGTGCTGGTGATACGACCGGTGACGTCGCTTTCCTATTAAAAGTGACGTCGTTGGATCCGAGTCGGTAAATCCAACGATCTGTCGACGTACAAAATAACAACGTACCATTTTTATTAATTTCCCAACGTCGTTCCCACGTTGGCTCGCACGACGTACATATACTTGAACTAGCCCGACGTCTACCCGTTGTCCCAATAGGATACGTCCCACTGATAATCCCTAAAGCACAGAATATCTAGCTACGCAAGCTAGATAGCTTGCGTAGCTAGATATTCTGTGCCTAAAGTAACGTCCAATTATATTTTGTTGTATTTTATGTTTACGTCCGTAAATACAACCCATTAGGTAGCATTTGCGGCCTAATGAACATCATGAACATAACCTAATAAAAAGTTTTTGTAAACAAACTTAATTTTTTTATTATGCCTAAAAAAACACTAAAAGGGCATTTAGACATTCATCTACATTTTACAGAAAGCTAATAAATAAAATAATAATAGTAGTAGTGATGTCTTGCCTCCACCCACGAATGCTTTTTATCCGGAAGAGATGCTGCATTACACTGGTGCATCTTAATTTCATTTTTTAGCTTAGGAAACCAGCAGACCCCATCCTCCTCCCACATGTGAGGTACTGGTTCCAATTCTTTTATATTTTGTATATATACTATCTTAAAAAAGTGGCTGCCAATTTTTTTTAAGGAGAAAACAAAAACTAAAATATAGTTGCACAAATCCACAAATCACTGATACGCAAAGTGAGGTTACGTGGCGTACGTTGGAATTATATACGTCATAATACGATTGCCGGTCGTCTTCGGTCGTGTGAGACGACTAATGTTGGAGACCCGGTCGGGATTGGTATATTGGTAGTTCATATTAAGTCGGATACAGAAATCCGCCATTCTTAACAAGTATCCGATTGTCAGCCATTTTAAAATCGTTTTTTGTTTTTAAAATTTATATTCACATTCCGATTTCTAGTAGAATAATATTGATAAGGTTGAGTTAGGGGGGAACCACAGTACAGTTTATGATTAAACCAGCAGCTAAAAAAAAAAAATATTTTGCGAGTTACTTTTTTTTATAGATATTTTTATTTCATAAATCTACCTAATTTTGAAGGCGCTCGTTGTTTTCCGGAGTATTTTAATCAGATATATCAAGAAAGTGACTTCCGTTGACAAAACTGATGTCTGGATTAATGATTCAGAATTATTATAATATGAAATTAGGTAGGCACTTATAGTTATAGAGAGGAGTGATTATGAATCCATTTGTAATTAGGTAGTTTGGTTAGGTTTTTATGTATTCTTGGTAGCGAATATGAAACCAAACGTAACGTAAATGCTTAGCGACGAATTTTAAGTGACTAAAATCCGACGTAATATGACGTTGGTAATTGGCAGAATTACATTCCCTATTAGGTCAGATACCGACGTCGAGGCGACCCGAATCTGTATTCCCCATTTAGGTGCAAATAAGGGTCGTCAGGCGGTCGAACCGACGTTGGTACCCGACGTCGTGTTTATTGGACGCGAAGTATACCCGACGTTAGATAACGTCCAAATGCTACTTGGGAATTAATTAATTTTACCTAACAAAATAATTAATTAACTACATAATACATCAAAAACTATCACAAGAAAAAACAAATAATTTATAACAGTAAACTAAACCGAATTCCAGGCCAACCAAATATTTTCGCAAATTGCAAAGCGCTAAATTTGCAGACACCGCTCAGTTTATATACGTATTTACATCACTCTAATTAAAACGCTAATTAATTTAGTTGCAATTAAACAAATTAATCTATATTTATGTAGCGCTCGTTAGTGAGTAGGGTAATAATTTTAAGTGTCTTTAAATAATAGGATTTCAGCTCCAGGTAGCGCGCTGCGTCTTATTTTGACGTAGGTCTTAGCTGGTATCGTGTCGGTTTATTGCTGAGCTAGTAAACGTTAATTTTAAATCGGAGTAAAGTCGAATGTTCGTCTTAAATTGTCTAGATTTTATAATAAATATGTCTTGTTAATGAGGGGTGTAAATAAAATGAAAATTTGCGTGCATATTGTGAAGTGAAACTTCTCACTAACAGCTATTAAATTGAAGGATTTGAAGGATATGTTTGAAAAAGTGTGATTTGAAATGTTGAAAAAGCAATAAATTAAAAATTAATAAATAATTGATTCGTTTTCGCAAAATTTGTATAAAAATGGCCGTCTGTCCGTCTGTACTGTATAGTAATTATGCATAGTCTATAGTATCTAATTAAAAAATAATTTGATTCACACTTTCACAAAATTTGTATTAAAATATCAATATCTTTGATAAACTCGTGGACTGCTCACAAATACACGTCGCGTTACCACTTTTCGTCTCGCTAGCTTGTGTGTCACGGCCCTGAATTTTTACTCCCAGCGCGCGTAAAGAAGTTTAACTTCAGAAATCAATAAAAATCGCTAACTAAAGAAGAAAAAATGGAATAAAAACCTAAAAATCAGAAAAATCAAGATATAAAATACCGTACGATCAAAAAAAACGGAGTCCAGTTGGCTGAGAAATAACGATCGATGACATTTTCCATATAAATTTACATATAAAATGACCGTACCATACCGTATATAAACCATATAGATTTTTTTAAGAAATAGAATTGACTTGAAGGCTTCAATTTTCAATTTGTAGAATGTATAATACTAAATAAAACTTGTTTTAAACACTGAAATATCTTGAGGCAATCCAGTTCATATAATATCTAACCCTTTGATAGATACTTGTATGAGAGAGAGAGAGAGAGACTATACTTTTTTATATAGTATTTACCTACTACACAGTTAGCCTGTGCCAAGATGTCAAGAAAAAAAATATATAAACTTTGAGTACTTTATTTTTTAAATGCCTATACCACTGGCTTCAAAAAAATATAAAAATTAAAATCGCCGACGTACAATTGGGGTCTCTACACAAATTTAAAAAAAAACTTTTTCAACCAAAGTAAAAAGCGCGCAAAAAGTTTTGTTAATAATAAATAACGACCATCACCACCAAAAGGTATGGTTACTTTTGCCCTTCTCCCTGTTTCTAAATCCAGGAGGTTGGGTCTTGGCACAAATTTAAATAAAAATAGACTTTAATCTAATAGAAAAAGCAAAAAAATATATATTTTTTCTAATATTTCAGTGATAAAATTTTACTTTTTGTATTAGCATCGGTGTTAGTAAACAAGTAAAACTACAAACTAACAATTAAGGAAGTACAATTAATAACTTTAACACACTGAATTTAGACTAAAAAAAAAGAAAACAATTAGGTACTAGCTATAAGTAAATAAATAAATTTTAAACATGGTTACTGTTGCAGGAAGCAACACTCCTAAGGAGATTTTTTTGATAGTTTTTTGTGATCTCGGATTTGAATTAAAGTTTTTTGAGAACAACTTAAAAGAATGATGCATCTGCTCTGAGGCTTGCTCAGAGTAAAAGCCTAATACTTTCTGTGAAATACTAACAATCTAGCGCTTTAAGGACGTCAACATTTTTAAGCAAGTGTCTGGCATTATTTCCATTAAATCTGCTGTAATGGTCTAATTGTATCCCAGAACTTCTTAGCCAGCTTTCAGCAATTTCCTCAATTTTTTCAATTTTTTTTGTACAACTCCCATCTAAATAAATATATAGTTGATAATTGGAAGATTGTCATCACCAGTTATTAAAGGAATGTTGACGCAATTCTCTAAAAATTTTAATTCAAATTTGCAAAAAAAATAACTATTAAAAAAGTCAATAAAGTAAACTTCTTTTAAATTTCCACCTGTCTCCTCGTTCTATGATGTACTCCATTTGGGAATATCTTTTATGGATCTTAGTTCTCCCTTTGACTGTAAATTTTTTGAGTTAACATCACACCAGGCACATGGATGGCATGATGATAAAGATTGAAGGCCCAATATAATCATTATCTTTAAATGCTAATTTTCTATCATGGTCCTATCTTAGGTTTGGTCTTCTTCTAGGTCTCTTAATTCTTTTTGCTGTAATTTTTGTAGTTCATTTGTTGTCCGTCCTTGTCAGGTGCCCTGCCCATTGCCACTTGAGGGATTTGATTCTGTGAACGACATCTATTACCTAAGAACCTAGAAACCCTTGACGATATATACAAAGAAGCCAAAGCAAGAATAATGATATATGAAACAAACCCAGAATATCCAACTGGCAAAAGAGTAACACAGTTTTTACAGCAAAACTAGAAGAAATCTTCTGTCAATTAGACTGGACCAACAAATGTTTGTAAATAGATGGAGAATATCTTAACAGTGTAAGATTTGCTGACGGCATAGTTCTAATTGCAATTGCCAATAGTTCTGAAGAACTACAAGCACAAATGAACAAACTAAACACAGACAGTAATAAAGTAGGTTTCAAAATGAATTTAGCAAAACCTAAAGTAATGTACAACAAACTAATAGACATAAAAGACATTTTATTAAATAACAGAACACTGGAAACAGTAGAAGAATATATATATATTTGGAACACCTAATACACAGCTCAGGATACTACTCAAGCAGTAGGACTCCCATTCCAGGTTACGAATGGAGTCTTCCAGTTTCTTGAATTTCGCTTTAAGTCAGTTTCCACTTGGGAAGCAGAACGGTTCTGGTCCAATCAGTGGAGTGTTCGCTCCTTTTCTAGCTAGATCGTTCGCTTTTTCATTACCTTCTATCCCTTGGTGGGCTGGCACCCAGAGTAGACGGGTTTTGTCTTCTTTGCCTAATTTGTTCAGCTTCTCAAGGTAATATTATAAAATCTCTCTTCTCGACCGTTAACTCTCGAAAGAGTTTGGTAACATCATATCTCAATTGCTCGGATCGTTGTTCTCCATCCCTCTCTATCTTGAGCAGCTATAGAAGCCTCTTGCAGGCTGTGACCAATAATTATTTTGGTTTGGTCCACCCAGCGTGTCGGAGATCTTCCTCTTAGTCGTTTGCCATTAATCTTCCCTTCGATTATGATTTTTTCCAGTCCATCTGTTCTTCTCGAAATATGCCCGAAGTACCTAAGGTATGGCTGGTTTATTTTGGTTGAAAATTTTGTATTAACTTTCAACTGCTTTAGAACTGATAGATTGGTCCGATATTCTGTGTTCTGTGTATGAAATTCGCAGCATTCTTCTGTAGGCCCACATTTCGAAAACATCTATTTTTCGTCTGTTTGTAGTTTTCAGAGTCCAGGTCTCTAGTTTGTTGTGCTGTGATATTGCAGAGTCTTTCTATACTCGTGTTAGTTTTATAGTCAACGCGAGTTACGAGCTATTGCTAGTCTGCGTTTGACTTCCTCGTCACAGCCTCCCTTGTTTGTTATGAGGATCCGAGGTAATTGAACTTTTCAACCACCTCAAAACCATCAATTTTCCTGATGTTAGTAGGATTTCGGTCTATTGTCACGACTTGCGTTTTCCTTTTATTTAGAATAAGGCCATTTTCCGCACTGATCTTACTTAACCTTCTCGTTATTTGAACAAGTTCTTCCTTAGAGCATGCAAGAATTAAGGTGTCATCAGCATATCTAAGGTTTGTGATCTTTTTTCCACCTATCGTTAGTCCGCCTCGCCAGCCCTATAAGACTTTTCTCATTATGTACTCTTCATGGATGTCGAACAGTTGTCTCACACCACGTTTCGGACTAAAAGACTTAGAGAGAGCTCATGGTACAAAGAATACAAGGTATGATATTGCGCAGGTTGGTCGCTACGTCACAGGTGATAACAGGCGCTATTGGTCAGCAGGCTCATGATCCAAATCAACAGGAATATTGTATAAACCCTGTTTTTGTTTATATACCGTCATTGAATTATCGCTAAACAAGTTACTGTGGAGCAGTTCATAAGGAGTCGGGCTAGGAAGCTAGAGACCGGAGTTCGAATTTCGGTCGGAACATCACTTTTTATTTATTTTTAAATACTGTTGTATTCTATATTTTATTTTTGAAATTATAAAAAGAACTATTTATTCCTGTTATTTTTTAATCTCGGTTATTAATATAAATTGATTGTTAGGTACAATACCTCATTTAATATAAAATAATATTCTACTTTTTTGAAATGTATCGGGCCCTAATTGTGTACCTAAAAATTAATATATTTTTAGTGATATATATGTGTAAACTAGTTAATATTTCAGTCACTTAAAAGTTAATTTGCATTGAATAATTGCCCACCATTAAAGGAAATTTGAGCTATATATAACCCTTGATGGGCATATTCTGGGTATGCAAATACTTCCTTTAAATTTTAGGTGTCGTTCAACCGATTTATTCTCAAAACCAGAAACATCTACATATAAAAGAAGCACAGGTCCACTAGTTATAATAAACTTCACTCTTGGTATTACTTCTATCACAATTACAAATACTTTCATCTGCATTGGCATTTTCTACTTTTCGATAGGAAACAATAAACTTCCCAACATTTTAAATGATGTAACATTCCTCTTGTGGTTACTTTTCCATAGATATCATCTCTGTCCTCATGTGAATTCAGAGGCAATAAAAAATGAAAATTATTTACCATAAACATCCTGGAAACTAAAACCCTAATAAACAATTTTATACCAGATATAGAAATAAATTTAGGTATTTTTACCTATTATCGTCCAAATCCATGTTAATAGATAGTGTATTATTATTTTAAATATATTTTTGGAACTGCTGGTTTTAGTGAATTATTAAAATTAAACGAACTAAAAGTCTTAAAATAAACAATTCTTAACCATAACCTAAAAAATGCAGATCTCCCTGTCAACTTTCTTTATTTTTTATTTATTCATTATTTTCCGAGTGACGTCACAGGTGGTGTCACGCGAAGACTGAACAGAGGAATTGGACCGCTATCGATCATACTTGTATTCTTTGTACCATGGAGAGAGCTTTGTTGAGAGAGCGTTGCAGATTTATTGAAATTGCTCTTATGTATTATAAAATACATAAGAACAATTTCATTTCTTTCAGCTATTTGGATTTCTCATTCCTTAAGCTAACTTCACCCCCCGTCCGTCTAATTCCTCGCTTAATGTGATAATTAAGAAGGGTGACGTTTAAGCGATGACTGACATTAGTGCCTCGCCTTAACGCCTAAACTATTATATTTAATCTTGTATGTTAAAGTTTCGGCGGAGCGTTAAATGGGACGTTAAGTGAAACTCTAATTTCTAATAGATTGTAGTTTTTCTTAGGCGTCATTTAGTCTTCGATTTAAATGCCCGCGTTCTGGAGAATTAAGATCCGTTTCGATCGGCAGTGGCGTAACTGGTTAATTGGAACTAAAACATATTTGTTTTAAAATCCACAATTTTTGGAAAACTAGATGATATCACGCTAACAATGTATTTTGCCATAGCAACTGTGAAAATTGCCTTATATCCCTATCAAAAATAGTAGAAATAGTACTAGTACAAGCACCGAGGATAGGTTAAACATTTTATTTCTTCTCGCACGTTTTTAATTGCTTCCATTTTGAAAATTTTGTATTCCTTTTCATAAGTTATTCCGGGATTTAGATGGAAGTAGTTTGGATGGCGTTTGTCCTTACTGCGACCTTGAATATCTATTTGGTAATTTACTTATTTCGTTTTGGAGCTATTTCTGGCTCCAATTCAATAAACAATCGACACGAAAGAGAATTAAAAAATATTGACTCAAAACTGACAACTAAAGGGGCAACTTTATTTATTTGTGAAATTTTTTTTTTTTTGTTATTCTTATTATTTTTCTACTCGTAATAATAAATTTGATCAGATTTTTTTTTCGTATATTCTACTACCAGAAAACCAAAATTATATGATAACGCACTTTTCAACGAAGTTGAAGGAATATATAGCGTAAATATCACAATACTTAATAGAATTACTACAATTAGAAGAAAAACAAAAAGAAAAAATACCCAAATACCTTCACCTACTACTCATCTACAAAATAAACGAATATAATTTCTTATAAAAACACTACACAACTACTTCTTGTATTTTACACTGAAAAAATTATAAACTTACTAATCAAACAAAAAGAAAAAATAACCAAATCATTCCTTCAACTACTACTTAACTACAAAATAAATAAACTATAAAAACACTACTAAACTATTTCTGGTATTCTACACTAAACGTTCTAATTAAACTTAATAAAATTAATCTAATTTTACACTACAACCACTACAACTATAAAGAAATAAGAACATGTTTTAAAACTAGAAGAAACAGAACTTCGATACGTGCGACCAGTATATTAGATCAAGCGGACAAAGAATACAAAATACTTTAAAAATGTGCATTCAGAAAGAAAAAATATCTCGAAAATTATCTAAACAAACATTTTTTTTTCTTATCAGTGAAAAGCATCGGCCTCGTCGGCCTTGCGGAATTTGTCGTGTATTTACAATGGTCGAATTGTATAATTACCAGCTTTTATATCATATCTAATAGACAAAAAGTATCTGGTCGATTAGTAACCAATTGGCAGGGTCCGAAAATTATCGATTTTTATTTTCTCTGTTTTTATTGGTCGCTTCAAAATTCAGAGTAACAAAAAATATGTTTCTGTAGTAAAAGACTGTGAAATACGCCCCGCCATCTGGTGCTTTACATCCATAAACGTCTTAGGTTGAGCTACTTTAAAAATTCATATACCAGGCCTCTATCTAGTGTTATTCCGAGGTATTTTACTGTATTAGTTGGTTTAACGTAACCGACCCGACTTTAAATTGTATACCACCTATCTTTGTCTTTCGGTTTAGAAAAATAGCAGTTGTTTTCTCTGGCGCAACTTCCAACTGGTTTTGATTCATCCACAAGTATATATAGTGTAAAGCCTCTTCGGTTTTGCGTATCATTCCTTCGGAGGTTTCAGCTGTGGTTAATACAGCCAGATCATCTGCGTAGCAGATTATTTTTACTCCTTGAGGCACCCTTATTTCCATTACGTCATCGTAAAGGATGTTCCAAAGGGTAGGACCCAAAACCGATCCCTGGGGTACGCCTCCCCCAACCTCTTCTTGGTGGTCTTTATCCAAGTTTACAGTACGCTGTGTAAAATATGATATTATAATATTTATAAGATATGGGCTGATGTTTCTTCTTGCTAACTTTGACAATATTATAGGCCATGCTGCCATATTAAATGCATTTCTCACATCTACTAGTATCAGCGCATGCCATTTTTCGGGTTTGTCCTTGACGGTCTTTGTTACAAGATCAAAACTGCACTTATTGTTGTGACTTTTTTATGAATCCAAACTGGTTAGGGTTAAACCCACCTTTATTTTGTATTTCTTCCATTAATCTATTCTTTATTAAATTTTCATATACTTTGGCGGTTGCGTTAATCAGGCAGATTGGACGGTATTTAGTTTCTTCTACCTTCATTTTTTTGGGCTTGTCTATGAGAATTAATTTGGAACTATAATATTTATAAACTAATATCGGGAAAATCGTTATCATTTAAAAGTCTATTAAACACCTCCAAAAAGTATTGCGAGTTATTTCGGATGATAAATTTTACAACTTCTGGTGGTATTCCGTCGGGGCCTGGGGCTTTTCCGCTTTTTAATTTCTCGGAGGCAACTGAGAGTTCGTTTAATGTCAATCTTTTATAACTATTTTTTTGGTCTTGTTTATACATATTCAGATTTATACCTTTAGGAGGCATAAAGGGATCTCGAAAAATGGCCGACTTCTCTTCAATTTGTAAGGTCGTCTTTCGGTTAGTTAGCTTTAATTGTGCCTTTACAATTTTGTATCCGTCGCCAAAAATATCCTCTTCTAAGTTTTCGCATAGTTCTTCCCATTTCCTTTTCTTATCACGGTAGATGCATTTTTTGAGATTTCTTTTAGCTATCTTATACTCCTCTAATAGTACAATTTTTTTTTCCTTCGTTTTTTCTCTCTGAAACTTTCGTCTTTTCTTCCTAACTGCCAATATTTCATTATGTATGTCCTCTGACCACCAGTATGGCATGCTGTAATTATCGTTGCATCTAATTATTCTTGCAGTGCTTTCTTTGAATGCTTTCTGAACCAGTAGTATACAACTTCCTCAGAGCATGCAAGAATTAAGGTTTCATCGGCATACCTAAGGTACGTGATCTTTTTTCCACCTATCGTTAGTCCGCCTCGCCAGCCCTGTAAGACGGTCTATTATATATATACTCTCCATAGATGTTGAAGGGTATGCGTGATACCTTGTCTCGCACCACGTTTCGGACTAAAAGAGGGAGGACGTTCATGACTTTGAGTTTTCCGGGGTTGTCTTCGTAACGATTTTTAAGTAGAAATATAAGATGTTTTGACACTCCCATGTTTTCCTACACCAGCCAGAGCTTCTTCCACTTTACACAATCAAAAGCCCTACTATAGTCGACGAAGCATAAATACGTTTTAACATTAAATTCATTTTTCTCTGTTCTGTACTCGTGTTCCTTTTCCTGGCATAAACCCTGTTTCTTCGTCAGGGATCTGTTGGAGCAAAAAATGCTTTTGCGTTTAAATATTACCAGGTTTTATTTAATATGATCATGGAGAAAATTTCACAGTAAAAGGTGTAAGATTTAATATACTGTGGATGTAGTTTTTCAACAAATTCTACTTTTTTAGTATCATATTTTCGAGACATTTTTAAAATAATTATAGAAAATTCTGATCAATTTCAATATATTTACTGAATTGTTTTAATTAAGCATAATATAATAAACTTAACTTATTTATTATAACCAAAAAACTAAAATTCTGAGAATGCAATTTAAAAAAGAACCTTGGTTTAAATATTATTTCTATGCGATCAACATGAACGGTAACAGGGACGGAGTGAAATAAAGTAGCCGGATAGTTCTGATTTCTGCCATACCGAGCGCTGCTAGCGGAATTTTAGAACATCGGTTGAAATGCACCAAGCCTCTACAGCACTGGGATATTTCTAGGCGCACACAAAATCCCCCGTTGCCAAGAAAAAGATGCTTTCCTCAATTAAGGGATTTCATTAATTGTGCTTGTGTTTAACATTCTTTTTTAATTACAGGGTAGGCAAGAGTTATCCCCCACTCGCAGCGAGATTGGACACCCAGAGAAACTACCAAAGATTCGTCCGAAAAACGCGAAAAATCGCCTGGAGCAGAACGTAATGACCCAGAGCTGCCCCACGCCGCCCCAATCCAGACGGAAGTTCTTTCTCAACCCGAAAGCGATAAGAAGCCCGTTTTTAGGGCGAGGGTGGAGGCAGCAAGCAGACGGAGCCATGTCAGGTAAGATTTAGACTTTTTTATTGAGTTAACACAAAATTATATGTAAAATCAAATTGGTATGTCCAATAACAAAAAAATAATTCATTTTGAAGGTGAAAGTTTCTATATTATGTGCGACATATTTTAATTCTAAAAAAGTGTAGACATATTCACCAGGGACGTGCATATGGGTTATTACTGGAATATTTTTCTAAAAAAAATATGTGCGCCACTGACTTCTTTTTTATTTTGTTAGCAAAATTGTATAGACCGTTAAATGCTGATTAAAAGTTGTCTCTTGGTATTTTGTCGATTTCGATCTCCTTAATGAGACAAACGCAATTTAATTAATTTGCCTTAATCCAATAATTCTAATAGCAGCTTTTAACCTCTCTTTCTAGGTCTACCTCTCATTCTTCTGCCCTGGGGACCCTATTGAAAAATTTGGTTACCTGTTCTCCGGCATACGCGAACATGTCCAAACCACTTTTTTTTTTAAAAATACTAATAAATTACATTAAATAAATGATTTATTATTTTTTTATTTTATAGTTTATTGATTGTGATTAATAAAATTGCGTTTGTCTCATCAAGGAGATCAAATCAAATAAATGACCTAGACGCCTACGTGTATTAGGCATTATTTTTAAAAGATTATATTTGTTTTTTATTAGACATACTGAATTAATTTTGAGTTTAGCGTAATTTTCTTTTCGAAAACTCCAATTGTTGCCAACTCTTTGGTTATCATATACATAGAGTCATTTTGGTTCTATTATAAGCTAGAATTGGTAGTAGGTATTATGATTCCTGATTATAGTAATTTGTACAGAGATTAGGATTGTAATGATTATACGAAAATCACAAAATAGGCACAATTTGTTTTCGTATGGGTTTCGTATTGGTTGTTTTTCCAAATCTAAGAGTTTAGTAATTTTTTTAATTAATTATTATTAGTTTTAATTAATTAATAGTTTCCATGTACACCTAAAGTTTTCTTCTACATATATCCATGTAATGTTTGTATATGCAATATAAAGGGTGAGTCTTAAATAAGTGCAAATATTTTCAAGAAACATATTTGTTCTTTACCGTTTTTCAAATAAGCCCAAAATAATCGAGTTATTTTGCTTTGAAAATTTAAAAAAATATATTTTTTGTTTAAATTTTGCGAACCTTTCAGGGGTTTTTTCTTTTCTGGGTTTTCTTTCTTCTAAATTTAATCTATTACGTATATATTATTACGAAATTATATTTTAACTAAAAACTAAAAAATTTTCCAAAAAATGTTTCAAAAAATTCCAAAGAGACCGGACTAATATGGGAAATCTGCACCCGCGGCTTTTTTGACTCTCACTCAGGGGATCGATCTGGTTTTCGAGATTTTCAAAAAAAACTGTTTTTTCAATTTTATTTTTATTTTTATAGTAAAATTCAAAATTAATTAATGATGATTTTTTTTCTAATTCTTAGAAGTCTAAGACATGAAAAAATAATAGGATCATGATTCTTAAACGAAAAGCCAATTGTTAGCGGAGGAAAGAAAATTTAAATCTTCATTTTTTTAACTTTAGTGAAATAGGCCACTCACTGAAAATCGTCAGAAAATGTCTTTTATACTCCTTTAGATTCAGGAATTTTTTAGAATTTTTTGAAGTGGTGGAGCAATGTGAAAAAAAAACTCATTTAAAAAAAATAAATATAACTAAAATCTTTTTTTTTTTGTAAAATCTTCTTCGGACTCATTTTTTTATAATAATCTTTATGTTTATTTCTGACAAGGGTGTATTTTTAATAAAAAAATATTTTCTACTCGCTTTTTTAAACTAAACAAAAATATAAGTGAGTTAAAACAGAAGATTTTAGAAAAAAAATGAGATTTTAATTTTTTTTTATATCATTCCACCACAAAAATTCTAAAAAATTCCTGAGTGTAAAGAAGTACGTATAAAAGACATTTTCTGATGATTTTTAGTGAGTGGCATATTACACAAAGGTTAAAAAATGAAAATTTATATTTTCTTTCCTCCGCTAAAAATCGGCTTTTCGTTTAAGAATCATGATCATATTATTTTTTCATGTCTTCTAAGAATTGGAAAAAAAATCATCATTAATTAATTTTGAATTTTACGATAAAAATAAAATTGAAAAAAAGGTTTTTTTGAAAATCTCGAAAACCGTTTGAGTTAAAGAGCTAAAAATTTGGGTGAATTATTTTGATTCGACACCAAATCCATCCCCAGAGTAAAAGTCAAAAAAGCCGCAGGGGTAGATTTCCCATATTAATCCGGCTATACCCTTTGCAAAATTTCCTTTTTGCGAAAAAAAACCTCTTAGACATATTTCTGTGGTTGAAATATACTGCTCCTAAAATATTTGCACTTATTTAAGACTCACCCTGTATAATTTTACACAAATTTATTAAAAAAACACTGACATTTCAATGGCAACTTGACGCCGCCGACGCCGTTTCTCTTTCGACTATAAAGTATTTTGAAACACTGAGGGTCTGTAGAACCGATTTCAGTTGTTATTATTTTTTTATGTAACACACTTTATTCCATAAAGCTTTATTAAAACTTTTAAATTAGATTCAATATGGAATACTATTGTTTTTTGTAAAAAATTCTCTGATTTTTAGTTTCAGTATTCTGTTTCTTGGCGTCCCAAATATTTATTATACATTAAATAAAACTCTTAGAACTTAGAAACTTAATTAGTTATCGATTTTTAAATACCAAACAACCTTATACATAAAATATATGAAATTCTTGGTCCAATTTCAACCTGAACCTGTATTATTATTTAGCCTCTATGACGTCATCAGCGACATCTACAGAAGGAAAACATTGGCCCAGCGTCGTTTTGGGGAAAATTCGTTCGCTTTGGAAAGCGGGGCATAGCGGTCCCGGTGCCGGACTGAACCAGTTGGCCTCAGGCAGGAAGCTTGATATTATATGTTTTTGATTTGTTTTTCTTTACCCAAATTATTGTATTTAACCATAGATTTAAAAATTATCTTACATGAAATGATTTGAGAAGCATGGTGTTAAATTTCCTCAGCCTAGATAACATTTTCTAGCACTCCACTGCTGTACGTACACCAAGTAGTTAGATTTTATTTTGATTTTTTTTTTGTTTTCTCCCTTGATTTTATTTTTCTACTAATAGTTTGCTTTGATATTCTTAATCGTTATTGTAAGTTTTGCTTTATTTTTGTATTAACATTTTTTATCAATTAGAAAAAGTATGTAGAAAATGTACTATGTGATTATTCATATCGAAGTAATAATATTAAATACTTTTGCAGTTTTTGGAGAACGAAAAAATAAATATTAAACATTTTATAACCTTATGTTCAACGATGTTTTTAAACTCCAACTCCCTTGATATATAGAAATATTTGATGAGAAATAGTTAAATTAATATATTTACTATTATTGTATTATTAGATGTCGATATGGCAATTTATAACTTTTACATAAGTTTATAAATACACTGATGGATATACAAAGCAAGTCACTATAATATATTTTAAGCTGCATTTTGTGATATCATCTCATTTCAAAAAGTCACTGACGAGTAGCTCCACTAGTTCACTACACAATGCAGTAGCAAATGATCATTTTTCTGATAATTTAATGTAACATACAGGATAAAAGAAGAAGTAATATATTTTCAACTAAAATTTATACTGCGACGCCGGTTTTTCAAGTTCATCTAAGCAATTATGCACCCATAGTTGGTGAAGATTATTTTTTTTCACATTTTCTTTTTTTTTTTGTTTATCTTTAGTAGGTTTAAAGTTATACCCATTTTTCCAGAACATTACATTTTATATATACCTCTCTGATTAACTTAATGTCACAGTTTAAATTTTAGTTAAAAATTACTTCTTATTTCATCCTATATATTAAATTAACAGAAGATAAAAATCCACTTTATTTTCCTTAAAATGGACTGCATAAAAGTGCATTGCGGTATAAAATAAAATACCGTATTATCGAAAAAAAAACGGCGTCCAGTTGGCTTGGAAATGACGATCGATGACATTTCCCATATAAGTTTACATATAAAATGACAGCGATCTTCATTTCATAACCATCGTTGACGCCGTTTTTATTCGATCATACGGTACAATATATTATAACACTTCAGTTTTTACAGAATTTATGTATGGCACACTTTAGACACTTCTGTGAAATAACAGTTACAAAATACATTCTTGCTTGCTTTACGACGGCATCTTTAATATATTTATTAATTTTGTGTGTTAAAATATATCAATGTAATCGGTATTTCAATGACATTTTTGTTCGCAGATGATGAGGCTTCTCTCAAAACCCCATCGGCCAAAAAATCTTCGGAAAACGACATGTACATGCGACTTGGACTTCTACTAGGCGATGGAGCAAGAAGATCCAAAGGTAAATCATTATCCATATTTAACCTGTAACAGTTTAAAACTATCTGTTATTTTCTTCATAAAAACTTCCCTTATAAGTAATAATAGTGATGTCAATTTTCGTTACTTTGATTACTATGATTACTTTGTACTGATCTTGGTACTGCGTAGTTTATTTGGTATTAGCAAACAAAATAGCGCTGTCGGTATCGGTCGACAACAATTTTTTTTTCACAATGTCTAGCAACTTGGGGACTAAACCCTCCATATAGTTCTTTGTAATTGGCCTATAATTGCCTAGTACAAACAACCGCAGATTTGACAGGTTGTTGCACCGACATAAATACATTCTTGTCATAGTGTGTTCCATAACAAATTATTTTTACCAATCTCCAGTAATTCTAAAGAAATCTAAAGAAAGTTATATGCACTATTTTTTATCAAATAACGCATGTTTGTAGAAGGGTTATTGTATTTCAAAATATCAATTTTAGGTAATCAAGGTTATAATCTCGAATCATGCTCGTCGTTGGCCAGTTATGAAACTAGTGCCATGATGTCGACTAACACTAGTCCAGTGTCTACATTAACGGGTAGCTCAGAAGACCCTCACAGGACAAACCCTAGTTCTGATAGTGTAGCATCATTAATGTCCATGTCAATGTCTGGGCAAAGCAACTGCAGTACTAGCCCAGTTAGTAGAAGACACAGCGTAACTAGTAAGTTATATTTTTTACAATATAAAAAAACAGTTGGATTTTCAGTGGATTTAATATATTTAATAAACATATATTTAATATCTTTTAAATAATATTAAAGTATGTCGCTGTGTTTGTGACTAATGAAAATGATAAATTAAACCTTAAATCAGTTTTCGAAAAATTACTTAAAATCAAATAACTTAATTCATTATTTAATCGAAAAAGATTTATTTTCTGAGATCGATTTAACTCTGACCGTTTTGAAGCAATGGATCACCGTATCATTAAACAGAAGTTGTGATTCGCAAAATTATTTTTTTTATTCCTTATTTTAGCTGCCCAACCTGGGCAAATAGAAGATCTCAATTTATTTAAGAATAGAAGAACCTGTATTCGACGATCAGCTAGGACTGGTATCGTCATAAAAGGAGCCATCGACCCAAAAATTCGATTCGCCCAGTATAAAGCACCTCAATTAACACTGAAGCCGTTGTTTTTCGAGGTACCTCTCCAAGAACCCGATCCCCTATTTCTTGGAAGGCATTGGCTTTTCAAAAAAATGGAAGAAATTATTGGTAAAAGTCGAAAAGTTAATTTAAATCAAAAAAACATTAAACTTTTTTTTAATTGTAGGTTCTCCAGGTTGTGGAATTCTATTAACAGGCAACACTGGTACCGGCAAAACAGCCTTAATTCTACAACTCGTCGAGTATAGCTGTTTCGGTCGAAGAAAGGAACCTTTGTATCAATCTGTTCATTCGCCAGAACGCTCCAGAAGCCCTCCATCCACTATATACGGTCCTATCGATTTAGTCTCCGAGAAGATTAAAAAATTAGCTAGTACCATAGTGGCTTACCACTTTTGTCAAGCAGACAATAACAATACGTGCCTTGTTCCTGACTTTATCCATTCCTTAGCGGCGCAGTTATGTCAAGCGCCGCAACTAGTCGCTTATAGAGAGCATTTATTGAACGAAACTACGCTTCAAAATGTGTTGTCTCTAAAAGAATGCATTGCGAATCCCGATGTAGCCCTTACAAGAGGCATACTTGAGCCTCTTTCAAGTTTAAAAAGGGTTGGAAAAATCGATAATATTACTTGTACGATTTTGGTAGATGCACTTTGCGAAGCTGAATATCACAGATCAGATAATGGTGATACGATTACGACGTTCCTTCTAAAACATATTCCAAACTTTCCGCCTTGGTTGAAAGTAGTCGCCACTGTAAGAACTCAGCTTCAAGAATTGACAAAACAGTTTCCTTTTACTAGAATAAGTCTGGATAACACTCCTGTAAATGAAAATATCCAAAAGATATTTCGATATATCAATTTTAGGCTACAAAACAGACCATGAAGAAACGGGTACAGATACAGGAGATATCCGTATGAGTGTCAGATGTGTTCTATACACTATGCACTGTTGTATAATATTAGTTAATAATGATACATAGGTATATACCTATTATATGTACGTAATTTTATATTTGTTTTTGTTGGAGAAAAGGTATTATGTTTTATTGGTTAATGTCCAAGATGCGTAATATAATAGTTATTTATGCAGCTAATTGGAAAACAGACTGTTTTATGTAACGAATGGAGTTGTTGACTTTGAACGAATATGCATAAGTTACACAAAAATACACTCAGCATAAGAAACGCAAAGGAAACATTTTTCGTCAAATTTAAAGTTTTATATATTTTTATCCCAATTTTCATGATATTTTTTAGGAAACTGTATACAGCGTAAACTGTATACGGGGTCCAAATATTCTGCGTTTTGAACGATAGATTTTTGAAGATATTTTAAGAACCGATATTCCGAAAATTTAAATGAGATATGGGGTGCCTATGTTTTCCTAAGCACTTTAACATTTGACTTTTCCAGAAATCAAAAAAATTGAGTCATAAAAAAATAAAAATAAAATCGCGAATATACGTTTTTTTTTTCAAAATTCTTCGGGAGTTCAGAATTTTTAAACTTTTAAGGGGGCATTTTGATCAGCATCAAAATAGGCAATTTTGCCTCCATTTAACCGATCTCATATCTCTTCTAGATTCCGAGATCTCAATGATGGGGCTCTAGTTTGAAACACCCATTATAGTAATAGGGAGTGTCTAAATATACGTAAAAATATGCATCTTGGACAATAACTATATTCCTAGGTAATATTAAATTGTTTCGATAATATTTTGGAAATACTGTTTTATCATATCTGACTGAAAAATAATTTCAAATGATTGACAATTCGATAATGTATAATGAGAATTGAATGAAATCGCACTGTGTCATAATATTTATTGTCATAAATTGACACATTTATTTATATCGTTACCATGTCATTGTAATCGATGAAAATGTCGTCGTGGTAGGCATAGCAATAACATTTTAATTCGAGATTTACTCAAATTTTTAAACTTCTATCAGGAATACTGATAGCTTATTATGAGTTATTATAATTCCTTATTAAAGGTTAAAACATTATATGTACAGGGTGTGATATTTTGGTTGAAATTATACGGTATCTCTGTTATTAGTAAAGATACGAGGATGCGGTTTGCACAGACCTTTCTCACTTTTTTTGTCAAACGAAAGATGCGGTAAACAAAATTTTCATAGCCCTCTTCGTTTTTGAGCTACAGGGTATTTTCGAAAATTTTGCAAATTAATTTGGGACAGTCTCCCCATATCTCCGTCATTGAGGATGGTATCGAGAAGATGGAAAACTGATTATTGTAGAACTTTTTACGTAGAATACAGCGCCGTAGTCTGTTTTTCTACAATTTTTTTGAAATATGGAACCAAAGTTATGTTTTTCAAATGGAACACCCTGCATATTTATAAATCATAAGGATCCCTCTGCTATGAGCTCCCAAAAATATATATCAGTCTATATTTCTTTTCAATATTTAAAATATATCATTTTTTATTAGTAGGCCGTGATAAATAAGAAAAAAAAATCATAACGGTATTTTTACTAATAGACCTAGTCAGACACTAATACATATTAAAAATTTTTACTCCATTCTTCAGTTAGGGTTAAGATCGATTTCTCTAAAATCCAATATTGATATTAAAATTTTATTTGGGATTGATATATTTTCACTCTTGAATTGTTACCACACAGAATATCTTTTTATCAATGGAATTTATTATAACGGGAAAGGGTTTGTAAATATCTAAAAGGTGCGTTCACACTGGCTGCTCCTTGCTCAGCGCCGCGTTGCTCAAATAATTTTTAACATATACTTTTGTGCGCTCTAAAAAAATACACTTCAAAACATGTTAAAATGTCAGATAGGTGCGGAGCGCCGCCTCCCAGTGTGAACACATTCATGAGGTTGCATTATTAAATAATTTTCCAGGTGTTCGACATTACTGTAGTTTCACGATATATTTCATATTTCAAAATCCAGAAATCAGAAATCCAATTGGACCAAAAAATGAACAAATCCAGGAATCAGGGAGGCCATCATATCGGTCCATTGGTTCCAATCTATAAAAAATTTATTAGTGACTCCCAAAATAAAACAAGAGACAGATAGCAGTATACTTTTAATAATTATTTAGTTTCTGTTATTATCAATCATGGCCTACTAATAAATATGATCTTTTGATAAAAACTTTTAAATATTGCAGTAAATAGTGAAAATAAATATAGAGTAATATATATTTTTGAGAAGCTTATGGCAAGCCAGATCATATAATTTATAAATATACAAGTAATAATATACATTTAAGAAAACATAACTTTAGTTCATATCTTTAAAAATATTATTTTCGTAGAATAACAGACAAAGAAAACATAACTTTAGTTCATATCTTTAAAATATTATTTTCGTAGAATAACAGACTACGCTACTGTATTCTACGTAAAAAGTTCTACAATAAACAGTTTTCACCTTCTCGATACCTTTAACAATAACAGAGATACAGTGGGTGTACCAAATTAGAAAATTTTCAAAACGACCCTGTAGCTCAGTGAAACGAAGAGGGCTATGAAAATTTTGTTGACAAGCATCTTCCGGTTTGACAAAAAGTGGAGCAGTTTGGTGCAAACCTCACTCATCTATCTTCACTCAATAGCGGAGACACCGCATGATGTAAACTAAAATGGGACACCCTGTACAATTTAAAAGACAACATTAATTTACATAAATAAGGAATAACTTGTTTTAGATTATATATTTTTATACATTTTATGTTGTAGAGTTTTTACTATGAAAAATCCCAATCAAAGGCATCCCAATCAATTTATAGCTCGAATAGAAATGTTATTTCTGTACTCAAAAGTCACTTGCGATGTCATTTCAAATCTGATTATTACACACACGGTACATACATACATACCTACATAATATATTAAGTTAAACATTATAATATTATATCCTACATTACGGAATTGTTAGTTTGTAAAAACTTGTCCTAGGTAATTTTTCTTGTTACTTGTTTTATCATAAATTTTATACGTAATTGATTGTTGATATAAATCGCTTCCTATATTTTGCATAACTTGTAATTTTGCATATTTACAGCCTTTATATAAAAAAAAGAATTGGGAGTGTAATTCAGAATTGATTAATAGCCAAGTTAAATGTTTGTAATATCTATTTTATTTATTTGTTATTTTAAAAAATCTGATAAAAATGGATATATGATTGATAGGGTTTATTAATTTTCTTTGATTGAAAATAAATCACAAAATATAGGTGGAAATATAGTAAACTATAAATTTTCCATGCCATATTAGTGACACATTCATCCAAAGTACTGACAATATATTGTTTGATTCGAAAAACGTCAGGGTTGACTGGGAAAATAAGCTTACTTCGTATATTTTTACATATAAAATGACAGCGATCTTCATTTCCAAGCCTATTCTGACGTTTATTTTTCGATCATATGTTTTATTTGGTACTGACATTTAAGTGGCATATTGCATTTTTTTTAACTGCAACGTATACAACTGCAATGCATTAATTGATATATGGAATTATAGTTTAAGAACAGTTTTATAATATCTTATTTTTTATCACTTTTTTTCTCTGTATATTTTTTAATTTATATAATGTTCCCTGATGCTCGAAATAAATAATTATTACACTAATGTTATGGCAAAATTTTATGACAGAATAAGGTGCTACGTAATGTAAATATAAATAAAACTGTAAGTAAGCTATGAAATACTTCTAGCTAAAACGTTTGCTGTAAATTATATACAGATTAAAAAATAATAATAAAAATACCATTTGATCGAAAAAAACGATGTCAAAGACAGTTGGATAATGACAATCGATGATTATTTTGTCGAGGTCAATCTCTAAACACGTTTACTAAAAGTGACATAAAACTTTCAAAAATTAACACACAACTGTCAGTAAGGCCCATTACAAAATAAATAAGAGTACCGGTTAAGTAATTGACGTCCTGGGCTTTGACTTCGCCAAAATTATCATCGCCGATCATTCCTAGCCGTCTTGACGCTGTTTTTTATCGTATGGTAGCCTTTAAATCTGTATATAATTAAGTAAACCAACAATCAAAAAAAATATATAAATAAACAACTTCTTTTCGATGTTTTCAACGACCTAAGTAGTAATTTTAATAATCAAAAAAATAATCAAATTATTAACCAAATTGTACACATACCCAAAGAGTTTTTAATATGTGTGTTTTTTCTCAATCTGAAACAATTTTTTATTTTGGTAGGTAAATAAATGTTTATAGATCTGTTTTTAATTATTATTAGGCATTTTTCTATAATATCTAGCTTAAAATAAAAAAAATATAATTTTATTAGAAAATTAAACAAATTAGACAACGAAATCTTTTAATTTAAATGTAATACTCAATTAAATAAAACAAATCTATAAACATTAAAACTACATTCTAGAAAATATTAACTAGTGTTATTTTAAAATAAAGCACCTCCTACACATAATGGTTTACCTCCACCCAGCACATCGGAGACATTCTTCTTGGACGTTTGCCATTAATCGTTCCTTCCATAAAGAGTATTTCCAATCAGCGCAAGTAAAATTTCCAGTGTATTTGCTAGTGTTTAATCCATCTTACCCGACACGTAAAATGTTACGTGTAGGGGGAGGCTTTAAATAAACTTAATAGAAGAAAATAATTGGATTTGCCTTAATAATTTCTGTAGTCAACGTGATTTTAGTTCAGACAATAAAATTTCGAATCTTTTAACTTGTATTATAGTCTTGCATTTATATTTTTTAACTTACTGCCAAGACATTATAACTAACAAAGTAAATCAAATGGAATTATTGTAAAAAATCAAATAATTTATATGTATATAATTATATGTATGGCCTTATTCAATACAAAACATAGGA